TTTTTTATCAATTCAATATGCAGACTCAATTTGAGTCAAAGTTGATTTTTGAAAATTAGTTCCATGAGAATTTTCATTAATTCTAAAGATACCCTATATTTTTTCTCTTGAAGACATCACTGAGTGATTAACATTTGAATGCACTCAACACTGATATGCAATACTCTATTACTAAAGATATAAATAATTATAAATACATAATACTCTTTACACTCTATTAATAAAAACCTGTAAATTACTTCATACAATTGAACACATGAACTGATAACCTGGGCTAGTTCCAAATTATGTTTTGTTGTGACAGATTCTGCATTTAGTGTTTGCTACACATCTCTCCAGATGGCAGGGCATTACAGATACAAGTTATTTCTTCAATTACATTTAAAACTTCATGCATTCTGGCATGCAGGACTATTGCAATAAAAATCCAGAAATCTGGGTAATGGGGGGTGGATTCATAAAGAACAGGGCTATCAAATTGTGGATGTTTTCTTTTTTAGTATAAATTACTCTTATGCAACAATAATTATCCAATGATATTTTTTTACCCAGAGCTTTTTCCAGCTGACACCCAGTTTCCCTTTACTTCACAATGGGATGCATATTTGATCATACACTAGTCACCAATACACTTGCGGGCACCTCTGATCTGTTGTTAGCAGAACGAGAGGCCCTCCATGACAACATGTACATGAGAGACAAGGGACAAACAACCCCCATGCCCAAGATGCAACTCAATTCCGTGGCCCTTCAGTCCAAAGCGCTGAGTCGGTACATGCTCCACCATCCAGGTTGTCTCCAATAGTGATGAAATAATAATGAAATAAAAATTTTAAAAAGTTTAATTACAAGAACACAAAGTCTTCATGAGAACATTAAGAGAATTGTTTACTCCTGTCTAGTTAAATATAATTTGACAGAGCGTGTTGTACTATTATTATTTTATTGTCTCTTCTTTATTTTCATGATCTTAGTGATTGTTTTTTTAGGTTTTAATTTAAATCCTTGTATTGTCGTTGGTGACTATTAACCAAGTGTAACTTCAGTAAATATAAATTAATTAACTTAGCTCCACATAAACTAATATAGCTTCACATAAAGATAACTTCACTATCTATGAACATTTTCTAGTGTTCAGTGAGGAATATGCTTATTTAAGTTATCTTTTCCCGAATGCTCATGCCAGTAAGTTAATTGCTTCAGAAAGGGTACAATAAGAGAACATAACCGCTAGCTGATTTGCCTTTGCAAATATTTTTTATTACAGGAGAGAATATTTTCTTCTCAATTCTTGCCACAAATACTTCTTTCCACCTGTATTCATTATTCAATTTGTATAGGGATTACGGTAGGGATCCCAGAATTTAAGAAAATGTGCATAGAAAAGACTTTTTCCCATGGTATGTCACAGTTATCAACCTGTTTTTGACAGAAACAGTTTTCAACTGATTTTGACAAGAAATAAATAAGTAAACTAATATAACTTTACATTAAAATATTGGAAAGAAAAAAATGAGCATATAAAGCACAAATGGAAGCAAGCTCTACATATTCGTACAATAGCCTTAACGCTTTCAGAACATCAACTATGTGCCTCACTTCTCTATTTGCAAAGTCAAGGTACTGTTGGACATGCATGCATTCAATACATACATGCACACTCTATTTATGCATGCATTTAGCACTGATTAACTGCTCAGAAGTCTAGAAGCCTGAGTAACATTCTTAGCATAAACTTCCTAGTAGCCATATTATGGTGATTGCCTTCATTCAGTATGATACAGTTATTATATTAACATCAAACATACTGTACCCTTGCAAAAACTCTGCACTTAGTAAAATGTTTTTAAATTGAAAATTATTTCCTAGTAGAACGTAACTCCAAACAGCCAGCCCATGCTCTCTGCATTAAAACATTATAGGCCCTGTACTGGGGGAAAATAACCTTTCTAATATTGCTAAGCATTGAGATTAATATGCACAGAAAATCATAGGCCTACAGTTCCTTTAATTTAATTCTGTAAGATTTTTTCTTTTCTTTCAATTTAATTTCACATAGATGATAGTTTTTTGCCCTTTTCTGCCCACCCAAGCTATTGAGTGGAGCACTCATAAGAACTAAATATTCAAAAAGGAATAGAAAGTTTGAAAAGGTATCATTTTATAGAATACTACTTAAGAAATATAATTCAGGCTTTACCTTTTCCTCTTTATTTCACCTCACCTTCTCTCACCTGTTTCCTTACCTGTCTCTCATCATCAATTTTATATCAATAAGGTGGGCCAATCAACTTACTTGCCTCTCATCATTTTCTCCATCTACCTCACCAGTCCCCCAAAACTTGTGTCACCTCATAACTCACTTGTCCCATCAAAATTGAGGTTTTAACGGTCCCAGACACATAATTTCTAAGCTGAATGCAATTTTAATGTGTGTTGCAGTAATTGGTTTTTATTTCCTAATATGCAAAATTTAATTTTTTATGGTGTTAAATCTGTTTAATGCACCCCTAGAGGCTAATTTTCTATCCAGCAGTAAAACACTTATGGGGTTTAGTGTCCTTGGTTTCTTATAAAAGGGGAAAATCTGACATCTTTCTTTAGCATGTTATATATAGAGGGGGCTATTGGCATAAAAATTAAATGAATCAATATGCAGTTTTAGGTTTCTCTTCTTCTTAACCTTTTTAGATCATGTAACAGGCTAACACTCCTGAGGAAATCACTCCTGATTCTAATCTCATGTTTGTTTAAATTATTGTACAATATTTGAAATGTTGCTGAAATGCTAAGGCCAAATATGCAGAGCTGAAGATTGTGAGTTTAATTTCCTTAAAAGGGATTGGTATGATTGTGGGATTGATTGGATTGTTTTGATTGCACATGTGATTGTAATGTATTGATTCTGACACATATCCTGTCTGAATCATTGCAAATGGGCCAGTATGGACCATGGACAGATTGCAGTTATTTTATCTTCTCATTCTCTTCAATCCATTTCCCAAATTAATACTGTTCTGTCATGGGGGAGTAATACCCATTCCATTCCCCTCTTTAAACACCAGCTTGCGCTGGTAGCAAAACTTTGAAACCAAGCTCCATGAAGTCATGGAAGTTAAGTAGCTTAAGTCACCATGAGTTCCATGATGGGTGGATGGGTAACGGTCTGGAAATCATGTTCTGAGTCCCTGGCCAACATGAAAGAAAAGGCAATGACTCACTTGCCTTGCTGTAAGACTGTCTTTGTATGTTCAAGGAGAATTACTCCTCGTGTTCAAAAAAGGGCCTCCACTGGTAGGGAAAACAAGTGAGCCACGGTGTAGAAATGAGCATTCATTTTTCACATGTGAATGAGTTGTAATTACCACAACATATCCTGGATCAATCATAGTTCAGAGTGTATAATGATAGTTGCTCACAGGTGATCACAAGAGTTTTTTTAGAACTGTGCCTACTCTACTCTTAAATAAAACAGAGATCTTTTTTTATTTATAGTTTTATTCATAACTACTCATCTCTTGGCATTGTTTGTTCTTTTCGGAGACCTCCCCCATTGAAATTATAGTAGAAGGCGATGATAAACCACTACTGTCCAGGAAAAGGGAAGATATAAAAACTTATGCTTCCTCCATTGCCTAAGTTTAATAACTGAATATGGCACTCACACTCTAATAATTTGATTCATTATCAAACATTTTCCAATTGATCCCAAAATGGTACTGAACTTTCTTTTCATGTGTATTATTTCAAATTATTCTCTTGAATTTAGATAATATGAAGAAAATTGTTGCTGGTGTTTTGCTTTGAGGAGCACATTGAGAATTATTAATCTTTCCCTTGTGAAATACCAAGTACCAGTAATGATGAGAATAAGCAATGCCTTGTGGTTGAGCCTACTGATTATCGAGAGGCCATGGGTTTTATCCTGACAGGGTTCAAGAAATTTGCTTGAATATCAGTTAGTTTGTGCCAACAGTCAGTATCAAATTCATGGGTTGACTCCTCTGATCAGTACTTTCTATAATTTCCTTGGCTTCTTCTAGAGGAGCACTTCTGGGCCTCTATCAGAGCAGCACCCTGTGAGCACAGACCACCACAGACTGGTCTTCCCACTCCCTTTGATATATTTCCCCCAATCTTTTCCATGTGGCCATGGGGATGTACTTATACCTTTCCCCTCAACTGGCATGCAATGGCAGGGACGAGATCAACATTCAATAATGGATGAATAAAACTGGATGTTGATGTATTCAAAGATTATGATCTGATGGAAGAATTATTAGGTATTATGGTTGGCTTAATATTTATTCGCTACTTTTATTGTTATGCATATTCTCAAGAAATTTTATCTCTAGTATGTAAATGCTTGCTCACTGTCTTCATGACTTCATCAAACTATTGAATATATAATTCTAAATTCTCTTTTGCAATAATTTAGTTTTACACAAAACTATCAAATCACCTAATTGCCTACCTATCTAAATATGTATGAGACTTACAAAAAACATTTTAATGATTAATTAATTACTGAATTCATTATTTTAGAAATAGGACAGGTTCTATGTCATTTCATTCTGATTTATGCCGTTTCTAAATAAAGTAATAAAATTATTCACACTTCGAATTCTTAAAATGTTAACTTACTACACATTTATAGCTAGTTCCTTGACATTACAGAGCAATAGAAAATGTAGTTGATCCAAAAACGAAATTCAATCAATTAGTTTATTAAGATATGATAAAAATTTCTGGATATGTCTTCATATGCACTTATATGAAATCCCATATTTATTAAAGGAGTAAATAATAAGGGTAATTGTGATTTATTTCCAATTAAAGTATTACACAAAAGAACATTTAGATTGAGATAAATTTATAATTGATATCTAAAAATAAATAGCTGGAATTGCATTGGTTAGACCTACAAACACAAATTAAGGAAATAGCTTTGTTAAGGCATAACTGAGAAACTGTTAGATTTACAATATCATTGATACCTATCCTAAATATCCCTCATTGTCAATTAGTTCACAGTAAACATTTTCATTGATTTGTTTTGATGTTATACAATTTTTAGAAATATGATTTAACATTTTTTCTAGACCAATTGGAACAGCCCAAACAAAGCTTGAATTACAGTACATTTCATTTATTTCCTGTTACATATTATTATAACTTCATTATAAGCAATTTAAAAAACAAATAGAAACATTTGAAAGTAATATATCACATAGTAGACACAAACAATTTGTATTGTAAATATGAGCTCATTTTTTGTAAAGCAGAACTTAATATAGGAACTTATTATATTCAGTTAGCAAATTTAAAAGCTGAATACCTATTCATATGTGAGACAGTCAATTTTGAATGAAGTTTATTACAAACCAGTATTTGCCTACAATATTCCTACATTACTGCCAGAAAAAAATTATCTCTGGCGCAAGATTACATACACAAGGAAACATTTTTATTAGAAAATAAGCATAGGGATATGACTTAAAATCCCGACAGTACATTGTCACATATTATATAAAACAAAAGCATAGCCTTATTAATTATTGTAGTTGGACTTGCATATAAATTACTCCTTTCCTCTCGAACACATCCAACCTGGAGATCGTGTGGGAACTTTGACTTAGTTGGGCCTGTGCTCATTTGCTAACCTTGGAGTGTGACAGACTTTCACTGCGACTAGAGCTTGGCTTCTTAGCTCTGCAACAAAAAAACTGTATGAATATCTTTCTTCACACTAAAAGAATAGAATATTCAATACTTAAAATAATAAGGTAAAAATAAAACAAGCAAAACTATTTGAAGATTTACTCGCAAATTGATGTTAGCCTGTCAAAATTTCATTGCATCGCAACATTCAGTGGCATGCTAAAAGTAAGCAACATAATAAGTAATAGTAAGTACAGTGTTGTTGTAACTACAATGTACATACCAAACAATATTTCACTACATTATTTACAAAAAAATGTAAAAAGACATTGAAATACTCTGCATGCTTCTATTGGCTGCAGAAGAGGTTACTTAAAGAAGAAAAAATAATTGTGTGTTCTATGTGAGAAGAAAATAAACATGCTTTTTATTAATGAAGTGTTCATAATGTGTTTCATTACATGCTTTGATGAGCATGCAAAATAAAGAGAATCTAGTATTTGGAAATGGGATATGTTTGTGAGTAGGAGTGTGACTCTATGTCTTTGTCATAATTTTTTGTTATATAACTTCATTGCAATTATTAATGCATTTATATACAAGAACGATTGTTTTCCTTTTATGCGAGTTGGGAATAGAAACTTAGAAACTTTCCCATCAGCCATATTTACCTTTAATTTAGGAATATCTGAAAATAATGTAATTTCTAAAATCATAGCATTCAGTATGTAATATTTTTTGAGAGTCAGAATAAATTTCCTACCAAAAATATGCTGCTTTTCTTGAATTCTACAATCCTTCTTAAATAGAAATTTTAGAAGAACCTCCTTTAAAGAAAGTGTCATAGAATACTTTTACTAATGGTGAAACTTTGTTGAAGAAATTGTTAACTTTGTGAAATCAGTACTTGCTAAGTCACAGTGGCAGATTAAATATTTTTTTAAAAATATCAGAATCACCCTCCAACGAGTAAGAACCTCAACTCTTCATAAAAGAAAGGAATTATTCAGAACAGTTAAAAATTATCTACTTTTTTCTGTACTTTTGCCTACAAAAGGATATAAGAAAATTATTCACAGCCCTTTCCAAACGGCTGATGAACAGCATTCAAGCAAAGAGAATCTGTCGCACAAACAAGCCGCAGAAGTGAGCGAAGTTAAAAGTGAAGCGAATGCGAGAAGACAAATACAAACTAAACCATTAAAAAAATCAAGAAAAAAAAATGCCGCAATCAGTGTAACACACGTGTAGGAACTTGTGCAGTGTGGTGGAAGAGGGGTGTGGTGCGAAGCGTCAAGAACAGACGCAGGGGCAGCCGGCGCGGCCGCGGCCACGGCCGCCTACGTACACGGCGTGGGAAGCCGCCCCCGGCGCCGCCGCCCTGCCCGCCGCCGCCGCCGCCACCGCCGGCCGCCGCTCTGAACCAGCTCCGCGCTCCCTCCCGGCTCCTCCGCCGCCGCTTCCGCCGCCTCCTCCGTGCCCTGCGGTGCGTAGGGGGTGCGTTTAGTGGCGAGAAAGAGGAAGCGTGCGCAGTGAATACAGTGCAGTGCAGTGCGTGCAGGGCAGTGCTGTGCAGTGCAGTGCAATACTGTGGGGACCCGGCTAGGCTCTGCATAACCATTCGTTCCCCGATTCTCTATCCCTGACAAAATACTGGCGTTCAGAGAAGGGCAATACACTACAAAATACTGGATATTAGATAAGTGTCACTAATCCGTTTCACTGGGCAATTATATATTTGGCAATCATGTTTTATATAAGGCTTGAAGATACGCGATGATTTGCTCCACTGTTCGTGCCACAAACATAAATTAAAAAAAAAAAAAAAGTCACTAAACAATTTACAGTAAGAATAAAAAGGATATATTAACTATAAATAATGTCAAAATGCAAAAGAGTATACAAGATATGTCCAATTAGTTTTGAGGTCTTCAATGAACTTTAGTTTTAGAAAGCGATGAAACCAAAAATGCATGTTGATAAAATGTACATTTTGTGGCACAATATCATTTTAAATTACTTTTACTTTGGTAACTGAGTTACTTTCTGCCTGACCATTGGATAATAATTTCGAAATCTGTATGGTTACTCAATAAAACACAAATATTAAAACCATTCTACATAATTTAAACTCTCTGAAGTTTTGAAACTCACACGTTTATTTCACTTAGTTTTATGTTCTTCGCCCTTTGGTTTATCTCGATTCAGTTACCGTACACCAGTCACGAAATTAACGTGCGAGGGGAGGCGGGGGAGGGTGGGGCGTTGAATGGTCTTATTTTCCCGAGGCGGCTGCTGGCGTCTCCTCACGCCGTTCTCCGCTTCCTCGACGTCGGCGCCTTCGCATCCTCGGTGCGACGCCGGATGTCCTCAGACCGTGTCCCGTGTGACCTGCAACAGGCCAGGCGTTCAAAAGCCACCTTCGCAGATTTTCACTTGGCACTGCACAGGCCAACCTCGCAGGACACCCTGCTCACAGATCGCCATCACATCACACCATCGATCTCACGCTTCTGAGTTACCGATCAGAGCAACCGATTCCAAAACGCGGAAAATGTAGTGACTACAGTATAAACGTAATAATTTCTGACACACAGTCGGCTAAATTATTTTACTCAGAGTTTTACATGAATGAAATTCCGGCGAGATTGATGAGGAATATTGAAGGAACGAATTGAAACAGATTTTTATATAAATAAAGAACATTCAGGAACCTAAAATTAAATATTCTAGAAGATTATCTTTAAAGAAAGTCTGTTTGCAAGGAAAGTAAAAACATTGAAGACAAGAAAGTAAAGACCTTGCTTCACATTTTTGGTATATCATAAGAATAACCTATTTTTATCACATTGTTAACCTTAAGATATGCAATGCGACGACAATGACGACGACGATGATGATGGTTATTTACATAATGTTGACATGACGTCAGTTTCGCGACTGTAGTTGATGGTACAGTAAAATGAATAAGGCGGGAAGATCATTACTGAATGAAATTAGTAGATAAACGAAACTTAATTATAAGAAGACAAAGAAGATGGCATGGGCCAGAGGTAGGCGGAGACAACAATTGTGTTGACTATTTGCCATTCTCCTCATCTGATGATAAAGATATTTCTCACTATCACACACCCATCTGCCAGTGGTCCTTGTGTCTTCATGAATAACCGATTATACCTCATGATTTTAACGATTTTCACTGACGATAATGATGGTTTTCGCTATCGCACCTATCTCACCAATACAAAAACAATCATGCCTCATTCTATGAAATATAATGATGATGACGATCGTGGCCGCTGCCGCACCTTCCTCTGCTTATTTCTGGACTCGTCTCGCAAATTGATAATCAAGCATGCCTCGTGAATGTTGAAATACGGTTGTATAAAAATATGTAAAATATATGTTTATGCATGTAAATTATACACAATAAAAATACAATTTAAAATGAATAAAATAAAATATATGATAAATAAAATAAAAAATGTATAAAATAAATGAAATAAAATATATGATAAATAAAATAAAAAATATATATAAAATAAATGAAATAAAATATATGTTAAATAAATAATATAAAAATATATACATGATATAGAAATTCATGAAACACTCTTTTCGCGATCTGCCGCACCCCACCTGTCTTGGTCCTGGGCACGTCGGCGCTCCTGCGGCGCGGGGCGTTGCCCGCCAAGCCAGAAGGCGTGCGGGGAGCAGGCGGCGGCGGTCGTGGCCACCGCGGGCCGAGCGTGCGCCGACCGGCGACGGCGCCTGCCGGCCGCTGCGATGCGGGCAGTCCGACGTCAGGCTGTTGGACTCTGGCCGACGGCGGCGGAGGCCGCGTGGAAGGCTGAGAGGCGTTGGAGGGTCGCGGCGGTGGCGCTCGCTGGCGCCGGGGCCGCGGCCTTGCGCGGCACGCCAGCGCGCCGAGCGGGCCCGTCGCCGGCGTATGCGTCCCGCCGCCTCTCGGCCCGACATCACGTCCTTCCGAGGAAAGCTGGCGTGGCCGCGCCTTCAGGCAATAGCCTCGCGCTGCTGGCGCGCTGGCAGGAACGCGCCGTGCGGCTGCTGGCTTCGACGCCCCCGGCAGCGCCGGTCCCCTGGCCCGAGGCGGGGGCGGCCGACGAGGTCGCTGACGTCACCTGCGCCGGAACGGAACAAGGCGTGTTAAAATATGAGAGTTCAGAAATCCCAGACTACATGTAAGAAAGTTCCTCTAATTGCTGCGGATCAAAAGTGGTTAAGGGAAAGAAGAAATTCATGTAAGGTATTTGCGCTGTACTGTGGATGTGCCTGTACTTGGAGGGAGCTAAGCGAAGAGACAGACAACACGAGTTTTTCTGTGGTTTTGCTGGTATGGATGGATTGCTAATGGAGGGGCGCAAGATTTTCGTAGTGTCTTGTTATTGGGCATGAGATGGGGGGGGAGGACTAATGGATACGATGAGGTATTTTACGAAGAGCGTTTTCACTGCGAGGATGAGTGCGAAAGCAGAATGAAAGCGGACTAGGATTCACGAAGGAAGTGTTTTTGTGATTGGGCTTAGTACATGTAGTGAGCTAACAACAATAGACAAGTATTTCTTGTCAATGATGGCAGTGACGCAAAAAACAAATACATTTTCCATAGGATATGCGAAATGAATGAAAGGACGACATTTGATTTCCAGATCGTTTGGGATTGCCTGTCAATGGTGGCGCTACAGAAGCGGGCGGACTAATATTTCGCACGTTCTTCCTATGATTTGCTAGTAATGGATAGGGAGAGTATTTCATTAAGAGTGTTCTTGCGTCGCATAGTGATGGAAGGGTTGACAGTATGGATGAGGGGGAAAAGCATCCTATAGTAAGACACGCTAAATGAATGATGGAGGCATTTAGAATTGTTGCTGTGATTGCCTAGAATAGACAGGCTCGAAGAGACTTTCCACGTGACCAGTGTTGCCTGTGAGTGGAGTTTTCGGGAAGTGTGATACGCGCGAAGCGGGGTTAGGGGTGGGGTTGGCAGGGAGCAGGTGGGCAGGGGGGTTGGGGCGGGCGGGCGGCCACGGGGGCGAGGTGTGGCTACGGGGTCGGGTGTGACGGGGCGGGGATGAGGCGATAGGTTGATGGGCAAGGCAGAGCCGCGGGGCGTGCTGAAGAACCTTGCGCGCGCGTGCCTCCTCCACCGCGAGCTGCGTCTCCCGCGCCGCAGCCAGGGCCGCGCCTGCGCGTGCGCGTTGACGGCGGGCGGCGGAGCGGCGCACCTCGCGCGTCGAAGCTCTCGATGGGCGTACGTGGACGAGTTTGTTGCCAGGCGCGTCTGCGACAGGCCTGCGCGGCGACGCGTCGCCGCCGGCCGAGGCGCGAAGACGCCGCGAGCGCCGGCGCGGCGCCGGAGTACCCCGCCCCCGCCGCGCCGCCCGGCCGACGCGCCGCGGGGCCGCTCCCGATGGTGCACAGACGCTCCGGCCGGACGCCCGCCGCGAGAGCCCGCGGCGGTACCCTGCGACAAAAGATAAGGCAAGTTACGAACGTAAATTTAACTGTGAATGAGTAGCACTCGTTGCTCTAATTTGTGAAATCGAGAGATAGTATTAATCACATATAAAATAACGTTGTATAATAATAATAATAATAATAATAATAAATATAATAATAATAATAATAATAATAATGCTTTGAATGTTTAAAGAACTGACCTTCCTAGAATGACTGGCTGAGAATCGAACTCATATCTCTGGGTATACAACCAATTGCTCCATGTACTTCAGTTACCCTGACAGTCTACTCTTCAAACAGCCTTTACGTTTGTACAAAAATATATATTTTCTTTCCAAGAATTTTTCTTCAGAATTTTATCACGAAAGGCTTATACAGGAAATGAAATATTATTAATTTATATTGCGTATTAAAGTGTATATTTCAGAATTTTTAGGTCATCAATTCACATTTTAATACCATATTTCAAGATTTTTGTCATAAAAATCATCTCCCTAGAGATAATTATAATTGATGTTTCGCCAATGTGTCACAATTGTAACTTCAATCTCGAATGGAATCATTGGAAATCTTTTAAAAAATGTTTAAAACGTAGGAGACACCACACTAAGCTAATATTTTCTGTTGTTCTATTGGCTAAATATTTTAAAATGTTTCTCCTACAATAATGACCATTTTGACGTGTGGTAGTTTTCAACTGAAGATGGCTCAATCTCAACTTATTTAAGGTGGCACAAGATCAACGAACACACACCTCCGTCCGCCGTCGTCATCGTCGCTGCTGGCGCGCGAGTCCTCGTCGGTGTAGCCGTTGACGGCCTGCAGAATCTGGTCGGCGGCGCGGGTCAGCTCCTCCAAGATGGCGGAGTCCGTCTCGACGCGCCTGGCGCCCGCCGACTCCTCCAGGACCTCGTCGATGTTCTCGTAGATGGGCGAGTCGTAGCCGTCCGCGAGGGCGGGGGCCGGCTGCGGGGGCGGCGCCGTCGGCTGCTTGCGGCCGTCACGCGCCTTCGACGGGCTGAGCGAGCGGCCGCGGCTAGTGGACCGCGACCGCGCGCTGCTCTCGTAGCTGCTCCTGCGATTGTCACATTTGGCGTAGGGTAAACACATACCGGATTATTCATTTTAATGATATACGCAAATGGTTCTCGTTAATTTCAACGATTATAGTAAATTATGTTGGTAGCAGCTATGTGGACCTCTCCAGCTATCAGTTAAAATAACTATTATAAAATAATGATACGATTTATGCTCATGCCATCTTAAATGAATGAGAATGAGATGGGTTTAATTTGATAGTCATTTTTGTACGTAATTGAAAATCAAATATTAAAATAATTAGAATATAATTATACTTGAATATGTGTAACAAAAGCAGCGATTTCGTGCGGGTACTGTATGACCGTACCTGCGGCGCTCCTCGCGCGTTGAAGTCTCCACTCGCGAGCGCTGTAGCCCGTTGGTAAGAGACTCCACCGCCTGCCGCTGGTGGCCGCTAGGGGCGCTGTCGCTCGAGGGTCTTTGCCGACTGCGCTCCTCGCCCTTCCGCTCGTAGCTCCCGCGACTGCCCTCCGCCTTCCGGGGCGACTCTTGGCGGTGGGCGTGGGCGCTGGAGTAGGCGCTGGACCGCGAGTTCACCTCGCCGAAATATGTTGCGGCCTTGGGTTGGCGCTTGGACGCCGGGGATAAGGAGCGTTCGCGGTCCGAGTCGTATCTCGGACAAGGAGAAGATGGTTTCTGTGCGGACGGGTAGCTGGTGGGGCGTCTGTTTTGGGCTGGGGAAGTAGCTCGCAGATGGGAGTCATTAGGTGAACTGGCTCTTCTCTCAGAGGTGAATAGCTGCTCCCGATTCGGAGACACCTTTTCCCTCGTGGTTTTCTCCTCGATGTGCAGTCTCTCGTTGTGTTTGTCTATCTTGAACGTCCTATCGCGTCGTTCGTCCAACGCCTGGGACCTACCGGCGTCCGAGGGCTTGTAGTAAGTGAACCCGACAGACGGTTCCTCGTTCCGAGGTGGGTACGAGTTGGCGGCGTCAAGGTTCTTCCAAGCGCTGTGCTGCTGCTGCTGGGTGTACGTGGAGGTGGAGAAGGCGGACTGCTTGTGCGGGCGGTCGTCCGCGCGGTCTCCCTCGTAGCGGAGGGCGATGGAGGTGATCTTGGGCTGCCCCGAGCGCGTGCTCACCAGCGTCTCCACGCGCCGGATGCGGTTGGGGTCGTACGACGGCAGCATGGCGCTCGCCACGGACACTTGGTGGATGGAGGCGTCGTCGGAGCCCTGCTCTGGACCTGAGAGAGGAAACAGCGCGTTTTACGCACGAGGAGTTAGAGCACGAACTGAATTTGATTGTGTGCGTTCTATTTGTGGGTTAAATGAATTGTTTTATAAATATTAAAAACTGCAGTCACTCACCTATGAAGGGTTCGAATAATCGAACATTTTATTCGAGGGAAAAATTACTGGTTTGAATAAATAATAAGCAAGTTTCTGAATAGTACAAAGAGGTATGGGTGTTTTGAATTTCCTTTCTATATGAGTAAGACTTAAGCGCAATTTTGCAAAGTCATTTGTAGAACTCTGTCTTTGACAAGTGTTTAAGAAACGTGAAAGTGACTGCGTATAGTAATCTCAAATGTGAAACCATTTCACTTGTAGACACTTGAGTTTGTATGGACAAGGAATTTACACTATTTATCAATTATTGTTAAGATTGTAAATTTCAACATCCCAGTGTTATTTTAACAATCACTTAATATCCCATTTTTAAAGAAAAGTTAAACAAATCCATTGTGCGGAAAACACAACCATTACGCCACAATGCAACTGGATGCGAAGCACATCCACAACGATGTTTGAATTGCAGTCGACGCGCCTAGCTCGTCGAGGGGTACCTTTGCGGGCGTGGCCCCGCGTGGAGGCGGAGGCTGTGGTGGCTGCGGGGGCGGAGGTGGGGGCAGCCCTGGCGAGGAGGCTGGGTCGCGAGCGCGCGGGGCGCACCGGGGGCCCGACCGCCCCCGGGCCCGAGCGCGCTGCCCCGGGCAGCGGCGGCCGCGGCGGCGCGGCGCGCTGGTGCTTTGCTGCACGTGTCGGAAGGCGCGCACGCGGCTCCAGCTGCCCGACACGACGCTGACGGTCGTCGGCGAGGCGCGCGCCGGGGCTGCTGCCGCCGCCCCGCGGGGAGAGGCGCGCGCGCTGCCCCCGCCCGCGCTCATGTACGACCGCACTCCCTCGTCCGCCGCGCTCGCTGTCGTCGCTGAAGTCGCCAGCTGTAGTACAGCTCCTTCAGCGCCGCCAGCTGGCTGGCATCTCTTGGCCACCGGCGGCCCCGCCGCCGCCGCCGCTGTCGCGACCACGCCCCGCTCGGGCCTCTTCGCCTCCGCGGCCGCTTCCGCCTTCTTCGCCTTGGGCGGCTCGTCGAACCGGAAGGCCCTCGGGGACGCCTCCCTGGGCTGATGGTGGCTCGAGAAGGTCGGATTGTGAATCGTCTTCATTATGAGCGACGGCGACTGTAAGTTCTCCGAGGCGCCCGACTTGATCTTGCCCACGTCGCCGAACACCTGTTTGGAGGGGTCATCGTGCGGAGACGGAGAGAGGTCTATCGTGATGGTGGTCGTGGTGGTCTTGGCGCGACCCTCGGGCTCTGAGCCGCTTGAGTCGGGCGAGGCGAGCAAGCTCGAGTGCACCTCTCCGTTGGCCAGCGGCTCCGCCTTTCCGATCCTCACCACCAGTCCCTTATTGGAGTTCTTAGCATCTGCAAGGCACGGTGCACATTGTTGGCGCTCAAAGACAGTCTAATGTGAGAAAGAGACACGTCACATCTTGACGATCGGAAGAGAAGTAAGGCAGGATGCAGAGTGGTTATTCTTTGCAGCCATGTACAGGAGAAGCGAGACAATGATCATACACAATTTCAGAGAGAACGATGTTATAGTAAAGCATAGCAACAAACTGAATGTCTGACTTCATGCAGTCTTTTTGTACACAATTCAAAATGCGTTCTTCATGCTCATATGCACTTACTTATAGGCATAATCATATAATATTAGGTTTTAAAAATACAATGGTTTTCAATGCGTATAAGAGAACAGCCTACTCAAAAGTTGAAGCTTAGGAAAATGCACAAGGTTGTCGTTTGACAGGACAGAGGAAGAATTCATTCTCAGCGACATAATGGCCGTTCTTGGTTGTGTTTTCCAAATATCGTTTCCATGTCCATACAAATCAAAATTATAATTAATTTGTTAGAGCAAATTGTGAATTCTACACTACTGACTGTTAAGTGTGGTTTTTACTTACCTCTTTGGCCAGGAAATTTAAATGGACAGCAAGAACAAGGACGGTGAACAGATCAGCAAGATGAATCATGTTATTGATCATGAAATGATATATAGAAAGCTCTATACTACAGAATTAATGTAAATGGTAAGATGTATGGTAAATTAATCTACAGGAATAGGAACTGCATTCAGTTAAAATAGAATAAAGTTAGACAAGACAGGGATCACATCAGCAGCAAACAATATCTCTATACAATCTACCAAATAATGAATGGTTTTCTTATCTAAATTCAATTATGATTCAATTATGACACTTCAAACAATTTGAGTTTTCATAATAAAAATATTAACGAAACTATGTATATAAATAAATAATTGGAACTTTACAATTAAAAAGTAAATTATGAGTAATATTAGATGCGTTTTGTTCACTAACTTTATAGGACGTCCAGAGTTATCTTGAGAGTAATCTCTCTACTTTTAATTTTTCCTACGTTTCATTGTTATTGTTTTAATTGTATCTGATTATAATTATTTATTTTTTTAAACAATAGTTTAGTAATAGATGTTATTGATAAAATTTAAGTTTTCCAAAACGTAAAGAACTTAAAACGAAAAGAAGTTTTCTAGTAATTAAGTCACTCTAACACACCCGTTAAAATATCACTAACCATAGACAAATAATTTACCTTGTAACTCCTGTTTCTTTTCCTCTCTTCTTAGCCACATTGGTTTACACTTATCGCTCTTCTGAAAAAGGGATGACCCCATGGAGTGCTTTAAAGATGCATTCTGTTGATCATCTGAAGAACCGGACTCTATTATTGTCGGTTCGCCGGACCCAAAATTAATTCTCGTAGAATACCCTTTCGTCTCTGGCGAAGATTGCTTCAACTCTTCCACATGTTTGATGCGATCTGCTACAGACCATCCAGAGAATACAGAATCAGTTGGTGGGGAGGATATTGTAACTTGCACAGAATTATTAGCTGGTTCTGCGATGTTCTTTTTGACAGCGATTGGGGAGCATTGAGGACTCGCTGACGAGTCTGTTTCGCTGTTGGATCGCCTTTGACCGGCGGGGCGAAGAGCTTTCAGCATCTTCTGCAGTTCAGACTCTCCGTTGCCGTGTATGGAGGCCGGGAGGGGTTCGTCCTTGCGTTCAGGAGGGGGTTGGACACTGTCGAACGCAGTGCTGCGAAGGGTGACAGTCGACCTCCACATGGACGACCCTTGGGGGTCAGCGCTCGACTGCACGGGGCGAAGCCGTACCCCCCATTTCTCCTCCTGCCCGTCGTTCGTTTCAATCGGGGAGTCGCTGCTCTCACCCAAAATGAAAGGTTTCGGCTTCCGGTTGTTTTTCAATATACTGCGCGGCATTGGCTCATTTGGCTGAGTAGTCACACTTATATGCTCAGACACGGTTTCACTGTACGCCGAAATCGTAGATTCTTGATGTAATGACTGGGCTATGGTCGCGTTTGCTTGAGTGAAAGTCTGATCCTCTTTCTCGCAGTCGTTCTGAAACTTGGTCAGCGAAAGCACGGTGGGGCGAGTGGGTTCAGGCTTAACTATCACAGGCATGGGAGCGGCCTCGGCACTTTCCGTCTCGTTCCCTCCCAACAGCTTCTTCTCGTACGGGGAATCCCCGAATCGAATCTCGGGCAGGCTGCTCTTGCTCGCGTCAGGGGGCGTCTGCGGCAGGGAGCCGGCAACGCTGCGACGCCGCCGACGAATCGGGTTGCTAGGCGGAGGTTTCTCGTCCGTCTCCACGATGTTGACCCGCCCTGACTCCGCGGCGAAGTGCACTTCGGTCTTGCAGAACTCTACTTTCTTATGTTTCTTGTTCTGGTCGTCGTTGCTGAAACTCTCTCCGTTTTGGACAAACGACACGTTAATTCCGGACGGTATGGGGTTCTGGCTAAATTTATCCTTGTTTGAAAAGACAGGTTCCTCTTTCTTGCCGGCGTGCATTGCCGCGAACCTTTTAACGAGTTCGGAAGTGGACACATTTGCCAGTTCCTTGGTCTTTGTATCGTGTAAGTTACTGAATCTTTTAATGCCTTCTCTCACATATTTGGACTCGTCCACTGCAATCGAGTGGCGCTTCATTTCGTTGTCCATCGCCTTCGATACGTTGGCCCAATCATCCCCTCCGTTCCAAGTTCCCCGCTTGAAGCTGTCTTTGAGAGCAGTTCCATTTGTGAAGGCAGATTTACGGTCGGCGCTTTCAATACTTAGACTCGTTCCTTCCGACAGCTGTCTGAAGAAAAGTCGCTTGCTCTCCACGTTGCTGGTTTCTCGCTCTCCGTCTTCTGATACAATTGGGATCGTGATTGTAACTGGTTCGGACTGGCGACGTACGTCTCTGGAACTTCCTGGTCCAGCCAAAGGTTTAAATCTGTGCTCGTCTTCTGAACTGGTTCTGTACCCATTTAACGAGACAGAAGAAGTATCTTTTATGATGCTGTTGTGAACGATTATGCCGTCCTCTCCACCGGACTTGTAGGTAGAGTTGCTCTTATTGTATTCATTGCCCAATGTGACAATCGTTCTTCTGCCCCGTTGATACGGACTGTCTTCATCTTTCATTTCTCCATTTTCAGATATCTTATCTATTTCTTCTTGCTTTTTGATCTGAATACTATGGCTTATTTTCATAACATCTGGTTTTCTGCTATCGAAGGCCTTCCCTTCTTCTATTTTACTCGGTGACGTCCGGTTCCAAGGTGGTCCAGCTACTGCCTCAGATGATCTGCAAATTCCGCTATCAGTCGATGACTCGACGCGGTTCTTTTCCCATAATCGAGTAGGTCGAGAATTTTCAGTTGCATCTGGGGCATGGACTTGTTCAAAACCGTAAGATTTACGACGATTATACCATTCCTCAGAACGGTTGTTCGAACTAGAACTAGATCGATTAGATGTTCGAGATTCTAGACTTCCAGTTCCCAAAACAGGCTTCCGAGTGCCGTTTCTATTATTATTTGCCAACACTTCCATTCCAAGAATATATGATTTTACTTTAGATGGAGGAACGTCTGCTATCACGTCGGAATCTGGATGTTTCACGTGATCATCAGTAACTATTCCGTCGTCTTGATCGTCTTCGTCTTTAGAAGGCTTGAGAATGCTCTTCTGCTGCTTAGGTTCTTCGTCAGAGGGAGAGTTCAAAGGCCTAAGCCGCCCTCGGACTTCCTTTAAGGATTCTACTGTCACGAAAGAATGTCGCTTTGAAGCGTTAGAGTTATTTGTGGTATTTGTAGTGTTTCGCCGCATGAATCCATCCATGTTGAAACTCTGAGAACTTCGGCTGATGCTCTCGTTCCTCAGATGGTTGGCCAAGCTGTCCGCATTGGATGCATCCGAGTGTTCGTGGTCGTGTGTCATCGACTTGTTGACAGATTCCGCGATGTTCGCCCCTCTTCTGAACACGCTCTCCAGAGCCTCTAGCCCTTTGAGTTTTCCGCCTTCAAAGAGTTTGCTGTCTTCTGGAAACAGGCGGCCTGGTAGAGGCCTCTGGGTCGGGGATGATTCGCGCTCTTGTGAAGTCCTTGCTGGGAACTGCAGGGACCGACGAACCTAAAAATACAAGCGAGAAATAATTTGAGACTCTTAATGAAAGATGGTATAGAAAGATGGTAAGATGATATACAATTTGCGACATATTTAGCTGAAATTGTGACGATTAAGAATAACGATATTATTAATTCCTATCATTTAATTATCTCAAAATTAGGAGAATTATTTTGCTTTATGTTATAAAAGACATAATATGCAATGTGACATTGTCATCTTGCAATATGACAAAAATGAATAATTATATTAATGTCAATTATATTTGTTTGATTTTATAAGTCAGTTTCTATATCAATAAATATTGTAATTTGCATAATATATTATTTTTTCGGTAAAGAGAGACAAAATTTGATATCAATGGAAGTATAAATCGTAAGCAGACAGTTCAAGTTAACAATAATTTTTATTTGCCGAGGTTTAATTGTTTATAATATTTTAGTTGAATGTTTGTTTATTATCTTTATCGATGTGAATGTGAAGTGGCTGTTTTATAAATGATATTTATGCGGGCAGCACGTGAGGAAGAATGAAATGATGCTGTGTTGGGTTTTTACAATTCTTTGTTTGACTCCAAAATCTCAATATTTCGCTCATGAGGACCTTAAATAGAAATGCGTAGTCTACGCTTAAGATACAAATTCCTTAAACAATAAAAGATTGTTTAAAGGAATGGTCGCTTATAAAAGTCCATATACCACAGGCGTTCCTCATGAAGGTGGAATCTTTATTAAGTGAACGGAATCATGACAACAATCATGAGAAATTTGCACAATCTGTTTCGTAACTGTAGTTTTCTAAGTTTTTTTCTACTTCTAAGTACCACTTCGCAGTTCTAATGTTTCGTGTTTAGAACTCAAAATATTTTATGAAATCATTGTCGTCGTTTTTCATAGTATGAGAAATCGCTGCATAAGAACATAACCTAAACTGGCAGAAAGGAGTCTAATGAGAAACACTTTAAGAGATTGGAGCATTGAGTAGTCACTCATTGCGTACACATTTTAAAATAAGATATGTTTGTGAATAAAATTCTGTCAATTAAGGAACATTTAATTTAAGTATCCACTATAGCTATAACACCTAAGCGCCATAAAGCTGTGTGTGTGTGTGTGTGTGTGTGTGTGTGCCCAGTTCTTCAGAATTTTGATGATTATTGCCTCAGCTCCTAAGTGTGATGGTATTTCTTGTTTCTAGATGCGCCAATTATGTAGGTTATTAGTTCCGTAAGTGTATTGCATGTTTTGTTCAGGGAGGCAGCACTGTACCACCCCCTTGGAACGTAAGTTTCCCCAACATGTGTCGGTTTCGGTTATTTCCCCTTTCAGGTACCTTCCCTACTTCTCAACTTCAAGCTCCCCACTCGTGTGGTAGTGAGCATTTTACTGAAGAGGGACATAGTTCTTAAAGCATGTGCCTGCACCCCATTACTGGGGATTTTGCTGATTGCGACCGTAGCACTTAAATCTAGTATTACTAATGGGGGAGTTGAAGGCTCAACGAATATTTTTTTGTTTTTATAGGTATCAACATTTTTGTAACCTGAAAGACATTGATAATTTTTTTGGATGTGCTTCTTGTTCATAATAAGATGCAATTTATATTGTGTTTGTTATAATTTGAGTTATTCCAGCGTTATTGGAAGTGGGTCAAATAATACGTGTTATTCGTTCAGAAAATTTAGAAAACATTTTTGAATCTTTTGAAGTATTTTAAGTCTTAGTATTATTTAATTTAATACATTATTATGTTCTAAAGATTCCCTTTTTTGATCAAAAATATAATAGGTTTTGTCATTAAATACAAGAATTGATGCGAGAAAGTATTTTATTTTAAGAGCCTCACATAGAAATCACTTCACGATACATTAAATTCAGTAGTAGCTAATGCGTCAGACGGAAGTATTTTGTTTTCTTTGTCGCATTCACAGATTTATCAAAACATTTAAGTATCGACTCACTTTTAGCACTAGCACTAGTAATTTTCTTTCAAGGTGTAGCCATAGAGCTAAAAATTGAACTAGACTTGTGTAAAAATAGAACTTTTAGCACGCATGCATGTCCTCAAAGTCAGTCTAAAAGCAATTGTAATCAAAATTTAAGCGGTGACTCTAAAGACCACTACTTGGTAATTCTTTTGACCTTTTATTTCCTTGACATTTACAATGCAAACATAAACGTAAGCATAGCGTTAACATAAAAGTTAGGACTATGTCCATAAGCGGACTCATTCACAGTGCGTTTGCATGATAATACGTAAGATGTTAACTTAAATGCTTGCAAGCTTCAAACTGCTGTGCTTATGCTTAATTAAGACATAATAAATGACCAAATCACAGGACGGTAACTCAAAATCTAATATTTAAACGGGATCGAAGTCGATAGACGAACTAACGTCATTTATCGTGGGCCATAGACACAGTCGATACCTTGAAATCGTTTATCACATCCAACCAATAGTAAACTAGAATGTCTCACAGCCAATAGAAACTCTTATTTTGCTTACATTTACGAGTATGTAAGATATTGTGAATATTAATTACGCAATTTTTCTTGAACGATGACCTTGCTTCCCTCACTCTAGCACAATAAACAGGTGAAAGCAAAAGCTCGCATCGAGCACTGATGACAACATTCCAAACATATCTTCACTGGCGCGAAATACAAATAGAAATAATTTTCTGTTGAAGACAGAACGTCTGCCCGTGATTTTCTCCAAAAAATCTGCAGAAATGACCAAAGCAGGTGAAGATCTATCACATGATACCTCGAAATCCTAAGAAACTTTGAACGCAAATTATTGAGAAAGTTGCGAAGCAAGGATTCTCCAGAGATTGGCATTGCTTCATAAAATCTAGTGGCCGATTTCGTAACTAATAATCCCACTCCACCCGTATTTCTTCAATCCATCGTTCAAGAAAATGTGCACGAATAATACATCAGTCTATCACTTAAGTTAATGCGTAATGTGTGTTGCGTAATATTTATGTATGTTTGTGTATGAGTAAATATATATTTTTTCATGTGTTCGTGAACAAATGTGTGATACATCCGAATGTAAACACAAGAATGAATTAAGTGACACTCATGCGGCCAGTCTTCGTATTTTTCGTTAATACGTCTATCCGTTATGCTTATGTTTATGTGTTTGCGTGGCGTGTGGTCCTTTCCACAGAAGCGAGAGCGAACCTGCGAGGCGCGCGTCCAGGCCGGGTGCTCGTCGACCCGCGGGCTGCCCTCCTCCTGCTGCTGCAGGTCCTCGGTGGAGGAGCTGCGCCGGCGGGCGGCGGGCGGGTGCTGCGAGGGGGCGGAGGCCGGCGGCCGCTCCACCTCCTCCTCCTCCTCCTCCTGCTGCTGCTGCTGGGGCGCCGCGTGGCCTGAGTCGGAGTCGGACACCTCCTGGATGACGACGCCGGCGTCCGAGTCGTCGTCGTCGTAGGCGTCGTCGACGTCGGAGGCCGCCGCGGCGGCGGAGCCCAGCAGGCGCGACGCCGACGGGCCGAAGGCGGCGCGCTGCGCCTCCACGTGCAGTTGGCGGCAGATGCGCGACACCTGAGGCACGCAAGGAGTATATGGATGTACGTCTGCGTATATTGGGTGCAAGTGTTTGTACATGAGTAAAATGTCTGTTTATATATCAGTAAAAACTTACTTTTCCTATGTTCATGAACAAATGCGTAATAGTACATCCGAATGTACACCCAAGAATAAGTTAAAGCAAACTGACACTTATGCAGTAAATCTTTTCTTTTTGTTAATCGTGAAATGATAATTGATAGATGGGACTAAGCATACTGAAGAGAAGTGATAAAATGCAAAGTTCATAGTTTTCATTATTCTATTATATTTCTATTATTTTGTTAACCTTTTCAAGTTTTTAATGGTACTTTCTATTCAAAGGATCGTGCGTAAAAAATGTTAATAAACTGGAGATTTCCACGCCATTGTAAATTAATGTTTTCAAGGAAGTTACAAATTTCCAGTTGCTACTTTATTACATGTAACCAAAATCAATGTATTTTTATTTCCAAAATATTAAACGCTGAAATTGGAAAGCTCGGGTTCCCATTCAGAGAAGAGTTATTCTCCATAATTAGATAGATGTGAGCACAGGTATTTATCATTTGTTTTCAGCTGTCTAGACGATTTTATGTGCGGATACAAACAGACAGGGCACATTACGGCACGACAGCACTTAACAGCACTTAAGCAAGATCAAACTCGTGAACGGCCATGAGCGTAAATACAAAGCAAAGGGCGCGGCGCAACGCAGCCGTTTGCCGACTCTCCCGCATCTCTTCTCCACGTACCGTCGTGTCCCCCTATAGTTTAAAGGCGGTTCCACACATTCGGTATTCGGCATGCAACGAGCCAACGCTCTCCGAATTCCGAGTAATGTTGATGGGCTGCTTGTTATTTGCCGAGCGACGAACATTCGGTGCTCGGCCCCACCCACCATGTGTCGGTCTTCGGGACACATCAAAGGAAGCGAGCATTCACCGAGCACCTCAACTGTTCGAGATTGGACTAGTTATGGCTCCTATTCGGTAAATGTCGAATGTGAGGAGTTGCCTGAAGACAAGAGCTTGGACTATCGTCTGAGAGTGCTGTATGCGAATTACCTGTGCGGTGAGCGAATCGACTTGCGCGTCGGGGTCTGCGGCGGCGGCTGCGGCGCTGGTCGCTGGGCTGTCAGTGGCGCTGGGGGTGGCGCCGGCGCTGGCGTTGGCGCGCGGCTGGCGCGAGGGCGGGCGGCGGCTGCCGATGGAGCCGCTGCGGCCGACGCTGGCACGTGTGCGCTGCGGCCCCACGTCCAGCGGGTTCAGCGACAGCTGCGCAAAAACACGACCCCTCACTCTCACTATCTTTATCACTCACTCTCACTGTGACGCATTCGCACTTTCACTCATTCTCTCACTCATACACTCTCGCTCTCACACTCAAACACACTCGTTCTCGCTCTAACACTCACACACTCCCTCTCGCTCTCACACTCAAACACACTCACTCTCAGTCTCACACTCAAACTCTCATCCAATCACCGTCACTCACTTGCATTCAGCGTCACTCACTCCTACTCACTGTTACTCACTCCCACTCACAGACACTCCCTCCCACCCGCTGTCACCCACGTCACTCATCGTCATTCACTTTCACTCACTCTCTCTAACGTCTTCGCATTTTTCTCATTTTTCTCGTATTCTCCTTTGCTCACTCTTATTTTCTCTCTCTCACTCTTTTATTCCCTCACTGTCTCACTCACTATCTCTCTCACTCGATCTCTGTATTAACATGATGTACATAATACTCCCTCAGAGAACTATTCTTTCTGAGACAAATTCTCCGTAACAAGCCGCGTATCTTACCCCGCCCTGAAGAACCGAGCCCAACGCAACGCAAATCGGGAGGAAGCGCTCACCTGCAAGTTGTCGAATCCGAGCTGGAGGCGCGCGCTGGCGGCGGCCGCTGCGGTGGACGAGGAGGAGCTGGAGGAGACGGAGGTGGAGGAGGTGCGCACCACCTGAAAGCTGCCGCCGGGGCCCTGCTGCCGGAACACCTCCAGCTGGCGCCGCGACGTCGCCTGCGCGCGCCCGTCGGCCGCGTTGCACACGCGCGAGTCCACCACCTGCAATTCACACCAAATCAATCAATCAATCACACGCGATACAGGAATTGACAAATCTTAACATACGAAATAAATTTAAAAATAGAAGCCGCGGTAGCTCGTGGATAGGGTGCTGGCGTCGAGCCCTGAAGGACCCAGATTCGAATCCGGACATAGGTTGGGATTTTTGTCTGGTAGCTCCATGGCTGTAAGAGAGTAGCTGCGTCCAAGGCCGAAGTGCCAACATATCGGCCACCATTCTGCAACCTTCCTCAGGGAGAAATGTGGCCTTTTTCGACCTTTCTCAGGACGCATTTTGCTTTGATGAAGGTTGCAGAATGGCCGCCGAATCGTTGGTACCTGTGCATAGGGAGCGGCGGCTCCCTGACAGCCAAGCACCTACTGAGTCCGGCCGCGGAAATCTACGCTCTCATTTTGATCTGGTGATTTCCATTTAGAGCATTGAGGTCAACTTAGCCATTTTGAGCCTCTGCCTCCAGAAGAACTCGTACCAGGATCTTTTCTAGGGAAAAGGCGTCCAGAGCGATATGCTCGCCCCGCAATCTCTGCCATACGCCAACTGTGAAGAACAGGTGGAGCTCTACTTTCACTTTGGGCCACATCAGCCTATGTGCAGTTATACTTCACCTTTATACGTTTCAAAATACTTGATTTATAAAATATTACCTACGGGTGTCGACGATGGTTATGAAAGTGGTGAGAAAGACGTTGATGGTTCTGGTGGAGAAATACATCATGGCCAGGAAGAGCCACGCCGGTACAGGCCAAGGCTCAGATTTTAATCAAACTATTACAAAAGACCGCAAAGACTACTAGCTATTCATTTTGGTCGTGCCAGGATATAGAAGATAATGAGGATATGATAGAGAATGTGAGGGTGTAGAAGGGGTGGAGACGTTAGAGGTCGTGCAGCTCCTAGCAGATTTCTCACGCGTAACATTTGTGGAGATCAACCACCTCAAGACCACTTCATATCCAGTAGCCAGGATGGTCATAATGTGGGTGGAACCGGGGGGGGGGAGTACTGCACCACATGAAGACCGTCCTCCACATACTCGATACCGTCGTCGCCTGCCGCGCCATCCTTATGACCCAACTCGCAATAGCTAGATCGAGGGCGAAGCCAAACCAAAATATGAGCTTGAAAATATAAATAAGAATCAACTGAGTTATAAAAAATAAATGCAGGAAACTTGTAGAGCATATAAGAGGTCAAATATGATCGTTTTTAAAAATCCATCCACGACGACTAAGAACAAAAGATTCAACACATCTAATAAATTACCATCCACAACGACGAACAACAAAAGATCGGCCAATTAATAGCTTAAGAAACTAATTCAATTGCCTGAGGCAACAACAGGTCAAAAGATGTAAGAGTCACATATCGTCTCACAGGCATCGTAATATAAGAAAACACAAGTCGTAAATCTTGTCAGAGGTTGAGTGTCTTCTCAATGCGGTAATGAAATGAAAGGCATTGGCAAGAAACATATTTCACCATTGATGAACCCTACTCCTCCGAAATGCTCTCATCGGACATCTCTACTTAGTCAGCGTCATTTCAAGGACACGGTAGTAACAGGAAGAAATAAAAAGGTATTCATTTACTCTTTAGCCCGGCAGATGATTTGTTGACTTGCACAACGAGGCAATCAAACACTGAGATAAGAGAAATGATCTAATGCGCAGGTGAGCGATGTGTTTGTTTACTATTGACTTCCACATACGCACACAATACACCGAAATCATCGTCGCTTCATACGATAGTTGTTTCTCCAAACCTTAATTGCACTCACAATGCTTGCAATCTCAAGGAACAGTCCTACTTGAGTGTGCAATAAATTATCGTTAATGAATAACGAACCAAATAAATTAATGAATAAACAGTCGGACCTTGAATGACTATTTACATAATAGGGAAACTATTTACATAATGGCCGAAGTTATATAGTTTTTCATGTAACACAAATTCTATCATCTAATTAATTTGTGGTGTAGTGCTTGATCTTAACGTCATTTTCAAGTATACTTAATCATCAATCAACAAGCTTGCAGAATTCAAATAATAACACCAAATAAACAGAAATACTTTGCGTCATATCTATTATCTCATCCGATATACATCAAAATCAATACAAACATAAAGCGGATAATTTTCGTAGAAAAAGGTAACGTCATATATTAGGTAAAACATCACCTGAGAAATCCAATATTATCCTCACGAATGTTTGAACTGCCACTCACAACATTGTAAAGGTCAACCGCACTACAGGAATAATTATGTATCTGATTACACACAAATTTCACCTCCTTTGCGACCTAACAAAAACAATGGTATCACTGTTCACTTCACATAATATGATCTGTCGAGGCAGGAAAATTTCACATACTTCCCCCGCACTGCTGTGCAAAGTCTGTACTGACACCGAAGCGCGTGCATCACAGTCTGCATCCCGACTGGCACATGAGCGTGCGTCTGGCATTCGCGGAAACATGCATAAAGGCGTTACGACTGGGGACCCGCGTGGGGCTATAAAAGCCGCCTGTCACACGCGAGAGACAAACGAGACGAAGGCCTTTTTATTGCCTGAACGCTGATTCCCGATTCCGCCATGACGCAGCACGCATCTAATCCCTTCCTCTACCGACACGCGCATCAATGACACGTGAGACGGCGCGGCAGCGGCGGTGATGGTGGTGGGTGTGGTGCTGTGGACGGTGGCGGTTGATAGTGGCAGCAGGTGATGGGTGATAATGACAGCAGATGGTACTGGAGTTAGCTGATGGTGATTGGGGAGGTGGGATGGCGGCACATGATGTTGGTTTTGGGGGATAGGTGACGATAGTGGTAATGGTCATGATGGTAGGTCATGGGTGGTGGTAGTCATGTTGGTGGTAGGGGTAATTTATTTTGGGGATCTTGGTAGCAATGCCGGAAATAGTGGTTAGAGGTAGTGGTCGTGATTTACGGCGGCGATAGCTGCTATCGTAGTGGTGATGGTATTGTTGGTAGTGGTGGTGACAGTGATGGAAATTGTGGCGATGTTGGCAATGGTGAGGTGATGTTGATGTTGATGGTGTAAGTGAAGGTAATTGCGGCGATATTGGCGAGGAGGTAGTAGCGGTGGTGGTAGTAGTGGTGGTGGTGGTGGTGGTGGTGACGGCGGTGGCGGCAGTGGCGGCGGTGGCGGCGGTAGTAATGACTATGGTAATGGCGTTGTCTGCGGTGGCGGTGGCGGTCATCCGGCCACCGTGCATTCTGCAGTGGCCTCGCCTTCTCGCCCGGGGTCTTCGGGACGGCGAGGCGCGGCGCGGCGCGGGAAATAAGGATGACGGCGACGGGCGTTGCATCAGCGCAGGCGAGCGCCGCCAAGCGCCGCGCGTCCTCGCCGGAGCGGAACGGCCGCTGCCACCGCGCGCAGGCGACGCGATGCGCCCCGCCGGGGCAGACGCGACAATGCCACGGACACTCGTTGATTAAACGTTTGGATCTTGCCATCGCCCTTGACGCCGTCTTCGCAGGCGCTGTGCTTCTGCCCTTCGACGTAGTCACCGTAATTGCTTTCATCTCCGTCGATGACGTCTCCATGTCATTGTTATCAAAGTTTTCACTTATGTAATTGCTGCCTGCAATCGTTGCCGTTGACGTCTTTATTGTAGTTGTCGATATTGTCGTTGATGCCGCTGATGCCTATGTTATCGTAATTATTGTGGAAATCTTTCTTATAGTCGTTGTACATCTCGCATCCTTCAATGTCATCGTTTTCCTTATCTTCTTCGTTTCTTTTAAAGTTTTGGTCTTTCTCGATTCCAATTTTGTCTTGTTTTTGGAAATAGTTGTGTGTTATATTTTCTCTCTTTTTGTAGTTATGTGTACAATCACTACAATCAATTTACCTTCCGTCATCGCCCTTTAATCTATTTCATCTTAAATCGCATAAAAACACTATTTTCATCATATTTATTCAAAGGAATGGAAGGAAATAACTTTTCTTTACCTAACAACTAAACGATAATAATTTTTATTTTTTAAGAAAAAAGGAGGCGCAAAGTTATATTTTTAAAGAAAACACAAATATAAGTTTTTAAAAAAATGAATTAATGTGAAACTGAATTAGTCGAATTAAAATTGAAACGAATTAGATAGTCATTAGAATATAAATTGTGGTTGTTACAAAGGTGATTCCAGAAGTTTTCGACCTGACCAAGATACCGCTCATCCATAAGAAAACCTGAGCAGTTTATAGTCTTATCTTTAATTGTTGTAATGCTATGAGTTTGCAATCGGCATCTCACACAGATTTGTGAAGAGAGGTACTCGAGTTGGATGCGAAGAGTGAAATCTCGTGGTGTTCAGCTTTTTCACTACATGATACCTTTACTTACTACTCAGATTGCAAAGAATGTTGTGAAGGACAATGGCTTTAAGGAGTAGGTCCATACGCACTACACTCCAGTGACGACGTAACCACGTATCAAAACTCAAGAAAAATCTTTGGGTAAGATAAGTTTCAGGTGCGTATGAGGTAAAAGAAGCATTTCTGACCATTTTGCGAAAAAAAATCGGAGTATTTTTATAAAGACTTAGAAATGTTAATATATAAATGTAAAAAGTGGGTTGGAGTAAAGGATGCTCAGTTGAAAATGTACGTAATATTATTCTTTCTATTAAAATTATAAGTTAGTGAGAACTTACCACGTAGATCATTGAACGTGGTTAAAGTGGAGAGTAGATTTTTTAAGTTTCAAGCTCAGATTTTACATTATATGTTTAATATAATTGTTTCGGCGAGCGGTCGGCAGCCGTGGCCCCGGGCGGGTGCAGCGGCGGCGCATCTGCGGGAGTGCAGAGAGAGCTCGCGGAAAAAAGCCGCGTCGTGAAGAAGATGCGGAACCCTGCCATCACGCTCTGGAGGCCAAGGCACGCGCGCTCCTGGCCCGGTGGTGGCGGCGGCGCTGCGCAAACACGGGAGCTGCGCGGGGCGGCGGGGGTGGGGATTTTGTGGGGGAACGCAGAGGGTACGGGCAGAGCAGAGCGGGGGCAAGTGAGGCGGGGAGCAGCTCTGTGCAAGCCCGTGGAGTGGGTGGGCGCCTTTGGCAGCGGGGGGGGAGGGCGACACGGGGGCAGAACGGGGGCAGGGTGCAAGGAGGGGAGCAGTGGGAGCAGCGGGATCAGAGAGGAAGGCAGGTGGATGCAGAACCTGGAATGTATACATGTTCGGGTACTGAAGATGACGGTGGGGCAAGGGCTAAAGAATAAGGATTCCTGACCTAGGATTCACAACCGTCGAATTTGATGGCTTATCTCTGTTGATATCAATACCACGAATCACAACTTTACAAACGCTTGTGTTAAGATAAACAAACACACAATCTGACAATTTGAGTTTGAAACAAGCTTAGTTTTGAAAACCATCAGGGGAAGTATCCAACATTAAAAGAATGAAATAAAAGAGAATGGAATGTCGGAGAGAATACAGGTTGTTCTGGTGAGAGGCAATAACAATAGCAGATACTAATAGAGGATTATATCAACTTTAGTAAATCATATGGAACAATTTCCAAAATATATTTGTTTTAACTTTCTACTTTTTATAAT